ACAATTTCTCCGTGCGCTCTGTTTACCCCTCGGAGCCAACCTCGTTCATGCCCTTTGTTTCCTCCCTCCCTCCCTCCCTCCCTCTCTCCCCCTCCTCCCAGGCAACATCCTCCTCCTCATGCAGATGTTCTGGGTGCTGGGCTCCGTCACCGTCGTAGGGATGGCCTGGGGGGTCCTCACTGAGCATGGATGGCGTTACCTGACGCGTGCGTTCCCGCCCTCCCTCCCTCCCGCCCTCCCTCCCTCCCGCCCTCCGCTTTCCATGCGCCGGTCGTGCTTTTCCATATCATGCCCGCCCTCTTTCCCCTCTTACTCGTTCCTCCCATTGCGTCGCCTGTGCCCCGCTCTCATGTCCCTCTCCTTGTCCCGCCCTCCTTCCCTCCCATAGTCCTGGCCACCCTCCCCCTCCTGATCACATCCTTCGCTTGCCTCCTGCTGCCCGAGTCCTCCCGCTGGCTCTTGGAGGAGGGCCGCACCGAGGACGCGTGGAAAGTCCTGATCAAGGCGGCGCAATGGAACGGGATCAAAGACCTCCGGTCTCACCTTTTTGATCTCCGGTGGGACCATGCCGCCTCCCTCGAGGCGGAGGGCGGAAGGGAAGGCGGGAGGGAGGGCGGGAGGGAAGGCGGGAGGGAGGGCGGGGCAGAGGACGAGGCGGCGCGACAAGTCCAGCCAGCCTGCCCCTTGCTCGCCCACCACCACCACCGCCTCTCCGTCTCGGAGGGGGCGCCCACCGAGAAGCCCCCCTCAGCCTTCGCCGCTTTCTTCAAGACCCTACCCTTGCTCTTGGTCCCAGGCCTGCGCGCCACCACCCTCTGGCTCTGGCTGATCTGGTTCTCCTTCGGCCTTGCCTACTACGGGATTATCATCCTCTGCGCCTCCCTCTTCACCCTGGAGGGGGGGGAGGACGACGCCCTCTTTGACTACCCGGCTTTGCTCTACGCGGCGGCCTCAGAGGTGAGGCGAGGGCAGGGTGGGAGGGAGTGCGGACTGTGCTCCCCGCTAGGAAGACTCGGGGGGGCGAGCAGGGGAGATAGATCTCCATTGGGGGGGGAAAGGACGGTGACCGCAATGACTGGCGCTCTGCGATCCATTGCCCCTCGGCATCGGCTTGTCTTTTGAGAGACTTTTTCCACATCTAACCCGTTGCATTTTTTCATCCCGCCCGCCCTCCCTCCCTCCCTCCCTCCCTCCTTCCCAGGCCGTGGGTGTGCTCCTCGCGCTTGCCCTCCTCGAGCGCTGCGGCCGTAAAAACACTCAAGTCTCCACCTACCTCCTGGCTGCTCTGGGGGCTTTCCTCTTGGCCCTATTCTCAGGCTTCCGCCTCCCCGCCCATCCGCACCTCCTGACCGCCGCCATGATATGTCGGATTGGGGCCATGGCCGGTGAGGGGAGGGAGGGAGGGAGGGAGGGAGGGAGGGAGGGAGGGAGAAAGAGAGGGAAAGATGCGTGGAGAACGAACCAAGGACTTGAAAGGCCGCATCTGATCCAGAGAATCCTTCTCTCTCTCCCCTCCCTCCCCCTCCCAGCCTCCTCCGCGACGTGGGTGGCCACCCCTGAGTCTTATCCCACCGCTGTCCGCAGCACAGGGCACTCGGTCGCGTCGGCCGTCGCCCGGGTTGGCGCGATTCTCGCCCCGGAAATTATTCGGGGAGGCGCCATAAATAATTGGGTCCCAGGGGGTATCTTGACAGGTAAGGAGGAGCAAAGGGGGGGAGGGAGGAAGGGAAAAGGGCAAGGGTGTGGTGGATGATGGGAGGGGAGAGCATCGGCATCGATGGCTCTTCGATGATGCGGTGCACCCCCGTGTGGCCATCCAGTCTTTGCGTCTCCCACTCTCCTCTCTGCCCCCTCCTCACGGTCCCTCCCTCCCTCCCTCCCTCCATATAGCCGTGACGGTGGTGGCCGCGATGGCCGCCATGATGCTGCCGGAGACGGGTGGAAAGGGGCTAGGGGCAATGAATGACTCGAAGGAGGTGGAGATGGAGGAGCGGGCGCTGGAGGATTCGATGGAGGGAAGGCCCGAGAGCCAGGGAGGGAGAGCGGCGGCGCAAAAGGAGGGCGGACAGGCTGTGGTAGTGGCCATCGACCAGGCAGGAGGGGGAGGGCCGGCGGAGGAGAAATGAAGCGTGAACAAAAGGTTTAGGAGCGGACGTCGATGAAATTTCTTCAGTATTAGGCTTGTATTGAAACGGGAAAAACAGGGTAAGGATGGACGATGCTGGTGGGAGGAAGGTGGAAAGGGAAACGGGAGCAGGCCCGAGGGGGAAGAGCAAAGTAGGTGCAGGCTTGTAGGTAAAGTTGTGAGCAGGTATTCGCTTACAGGGTGACATTGTAAGTTTGAATCCTCACGCTCCCACGATATGGGAGAGAAGCGTGCGGGATACTGAGGAGAAGCACGCCCGCGAGGAAGGTAACAAAAGTGACGCGGAAGGTGGCTGGTGAGGTCCACAGCCATGAGTGTCCAAGGACAGGACTGACCGAGATGCCGGTATGCAAGGACAGCAATATCTAAATGTCAAAATCTGAAGTCTTAAGCAGCAAAAATCTTCAGCTGATATCCAAGAGTAATGCCAGGATACCAAATACAGCAGTTTAAAGTTGGCGAGATGCAGATGAGAACACGGGAATGTCGGAGGAATTGGCGAGAAATGTAGAGAAATAAACAAAATGGATTTGGTGGGGTCTGGCGGTGAGTACGCGACCGTGCTCACAAATGAAGAAGGAAAATCCCGATTTGCCGCTTATGTTACCAGTTCAGAGGAAGTCATTGCTGTCGTTCCTCCCTTTTAGTGTTCACAACATCACATAACTACCACTCTCCAATCTATCGAGTTATAACCTACATCTGTCCCAATGAGTCACAATTCGACGTCGATACGGCAGGCCCGAAAGGATAATCAAAGGCTTCGCTCACTAAATCACGGCATATCTCGCAGATGAATGTTCTTTCGTTGCCTCTCATGGTCCCATCAAATTGTAAAATGTGATCCTCAAAGTATGAATTTCCTTACTCAGCCTCAAAGAGTTGTCCATTCCCCTACATGAAAGCCACGCACCCCTTCGTACAAACCGTTGCCGACCGTTACCGAGCCCGGAGCCAGGACGTCACAAAATGTCTCCACAGGCACACGAACGTTCTTCTATGAATGCGCACTTCGCTGCGACAACGATGCGTTAGTGCAAGTTATACATTGTACGGGGGAACTGGGCTGCGCGGAGAAAAATGAAATGATTAGGGAATACGAAACGTCTTGCCCATTCCGTCTTTCCAATCTCGCCCACCAAAAGGCATGTCCGCAACTTTTTACCTTTTTTTTTCCCCAATTATTCTATTAAATCACGATATAACAGATAATTTCTAAGCAGAAAGGAGAACATCATGGACAATGCGTGAATATACGACAGACTTTGCCCCTTGGTATCTCATGATGTCCTCTAATATTTCCAACGGTGGCGGACTGTACGCCTCAGTCGCCTTCGGCGGTGTCGTAGCAATCCTCGCTTGGATGATGTTCTTTTTATCTGGGAAAGAATTAAATGATATATCGACGTGGAGGATAGTGAAGCTTCTGACAGGGGGGGTGGACATGAGGGCAAGGCGCAGAGCCACGCAGCATTTCCGTGTGACTAGATGCACATGGATTGAGGCTTCTACGAATGATGAGGTGCGGGCGAGAGAGGGAGAGAGGAAAAAGCTTAGGATTAGTACCCAAAGCGCAAATCTGACGTCCCGCAGCCAGTACAGGGAGGGCAGGCTTTTCTTCCCGTGCCTCCTTCCTCCACACATTCCACGTCTCTCTTTCGAGTCTCATCTATTATTTCTCGCATTCTTCTCCTCCTCCCGTTTCCATTCCATCTCTCTCAATCATCTGTCAGACGTGTTACCGGAAATATCACCTCTCCATCCTGGACAAGATGCTGTGCCCCGTCACCATCATCAACATGCACTATTTTTACGAGGTAAGCCATTGGCTAAGCCCTCGTGACCGCAGCACCGACAGCCCCCTCGTACTAACTCCTGCCTTCATTCTACCCCTACTCCTCACTTATTTTCCCCTGCTGAACCTGCTTCTTCTTCTTAAACACCTCCAACTCGTCCACTCTCATGTCCCACCGTCAGGCAACCCTGGAAGCGGCCTCCCTCAAAGCCTCCCTCGGTCGCCTCCTCGCCCTCCACCCCTTCCTCGCGGGCTCTCTCACAGGTTTCCTAAAGGGCGCCTACGTGCATTGTCCAGGCCAAGGAGTCGAATTCACGGAGGCAGAAAGCGATTGGTAAGAAGGA